AGAGCATTAAAAAAGGAACAGGTGGGTCCAGAATACAGTGAATGTACCCATGAGAGCTGGGCAGCACTTGAGGGAGGACTGTAGACAGCTATCAGTGGAAGTGGTGGTAGAAGGCTTGGAACAAAGGTCTTTAGATTAGGACACACAGTCCTAGCCCAGGCCCGGTAACTGTGTGGGAGAGATTCCTGCTACCCTGCGCCAGCGGGACCTACTGGTCCCAGCTCAGGCGCAGCGTGGGTGAGACCCTCTTCCATCCCTTTGGGACTCCCCCCATCACTCCACAGCACCTCCCCTACCCTGCCTGCCCAGTAGGAATATCTGCCGTGTTCTAGGAACACCCAGATCCAGTCCTAGCCCAGCCCCAGTGAGTGTGTGGGAGAGCTGCCTCTCCCCCCTACTCCACCTTGTCCCCTCCAGACTCAGCTCAGCTCTGGCATACAGGCCTGGGATGAAACCCTGCAGCTGCCATCCCTGCAGAGAGTGTAGGGGACAGAACCACCCAGCTACTCCAGGAGCAGAACATCTTGCCAGGGGGGCACAACAGGTTCACCCCCAAGGGCAACAGCAGGAAGGAGCTGAGCACAGCAGCCAGACCCAAGCCAGGCACAACTGGATAAATCCAAACTTTGTAGATCTGCAGCTGAACTTCAGTAGGTGCTGAGGCTATAACTGCACCAAAGATCTACAACAAAGGTCAGAAGACAGTGCTACGCAAAATGACGAGAAGGAACAAAATGCAATCTCAGAACCCAAGCCCACCCATAACAAGTGCAGAGGACACTAACACAGAACAAATTGGGAATCACACAGCTGAAAGCAAAGAATCAATGGCTTCTGAAATAAAGAAACAGCTACAGAAAGTATAGAGGAACTCAGACTGGAAATAGATCAAGACATACTCTTACATTGAGAATCTGGAGTCCGAGTGTATTTTTCAGCTTTTTGTCACTGGGACAAAATTCCTGACTACAGATCCTACAGGAAAACAGATGCATTTTGGTTCAGTCTCAGAGGTTTCTTTGTCTATGGTCAGCTTGCTGCAGGGCTGACATGTCATACAGAAAGGTAGAGCAGAAACTCTGCTCACTTCATGTGAGTCAGGAAACAGAATGGAAGAGTCAGAAGAGATACACTCTTCAAAGTCCTGGCCCCAGTGTCCTACTTTCTCCAACTGAGCCCCATGTCTTAATAACCTGTTCAGCTAATGAACTCATCAGCATATTAACTCATTGATGAGGTTAGTGCTCTCAATACATGAGCATTTGAGGGATGTTTCATGTTTAAACCATAACATTAAGCATCTGTTAAAGATCTATATATAATTCAATACGAAAACAACAGAAAGAATATTCAAAGTACCACAAAAATGGAATGACACCTTATCCAGCCACTCAATGAACATGTTTACATGGTCATGATCAGACAGTGAAGTTTAATGTTTATCATCATCTCACAGACTCTCCATACAGCCAGCACAGAAGACCTGGTTACTGTCAGAGAACAGAAGATAACTACAAGAGAAAAAGTGCAGAGACAGAGTTGGGAAGATAAGGCAAGGGTGGGGAGGAGTAAAAGAAACAAAGAGTTTTAAAAACAGAAGGCTTTAACTATTAGTGATGAAACTAGAAATAAAACCATAAAGCTATTATTCAATACTCCAAAGCTTACAATATATACAGAAATCAAACAGAGTACTATCTGGAATGGCAGTGCAAAATCAGAAACAGTAACTAATGACAAGCAAAAGAGTAGTTAATCTTCTTTAACTGAGGACTTTCTCTTTAGAACCCACTCTTAAATACAAATATATAGTAATTAAACTACCACATAACATTTCTCATTATCAGTCTTCCATCTTATTTCTCTAACTCCTACGGAGGAGTCACTAGTGCTAGTCCTTCCTTGGTTCTGGGTCACAGCAGGTAGTCCATAATGCGAGAACCTAGAAACAGGACCATCTCTGTGTGATCTGCAGGTAAGGAGGAAAGAGTTTAAAGAGATGCCTTTTGGCATCTTCATATTTAAACCAAGAGTTCTAGCTTGCAAGGCTGGGGCCAGGCACTATTTTATTCATTATAAAGAAACCTTATGCATGCTTTAATTCTTTAAACCACTGGATATATTAATTTGGTAAAATAATTCTTTATTCTTTGAAAAAGTACACTGACAGCAGAGACTTGAAGATTTTCTTTAATTTTCAAGTTATAAAATAATGTCACATACTAAAAAATTTAAGGCAGATTTCTGAGTGACAGGCATACAATTTTTCTGACTATAATGAAATTTCAATTGCATATAATAAATTATACTGTGCTTTTATGGAGTCATCTTCTATTTTGCCTCCAGAGAAAGAAGTACATGACAAACAAACCTCCCGGGCCAGAATAGCACTGTGCTATTAAGAACATGAAAGCTGATGATCAGCTCTGAAAATTTATGTCACAAATATTTGTGTTTGTCTTAGTATTTCAGGGTTTTTGTGTTCCAACTAACCATGTTCCTGCATTATAGTTAATCACTTTTCACTCATGCCTTTCTTTCCTTCCTTTTTTCAACTGAGGTAAGCCCAAATTCAATCAGGGTGCCACAAAGATTGATAGGAAGCACAGGGATTTGCTTCCCTCATCCCAGTGACAACCAAATGAATAATGGCAAAACTCTTCTCATTTTTTAAACCTCTGTACAAATCATTTACTTGCCAGTTTTTCTCAAATCACATGGTATACAACAAAAAAGTATTAAAATGTATTGCATACTTACAAAGCAGTTGGCTAACTGGAGAAGAAGAAATATTTTTAAAGTATAAACCTAAAAGATCACATAGTATGTCTATTTCTGGAGCAAAGAGTAAATGACTAAAGTGAACATTAAGATATTAGCCAGGAGCCAATTGCATCATTTCAATTTATGCTGCTTATGCAAGAGACTGACTGAACAATAGCCAATAATAGTAGGTGTGAAAGAGAAACACAGAGCTGATCTACATTGTAATTATAAAAAGAATGAAGATAAAAATTGGAGCTAATTATAAAACATATGCTGCAACACTACACTGTTTTCACTTGGGCCTTGGTTAATGCTCTTTTCAATTTCATCTCTTTCATGAGGAATGAGTCAATTAAATTTTTGTTTGTTTAAAAAAAAAGATGCATGTAAATCTTTTGTCGTTGTCACTGCACTTACTGAAATGTACAGTATCTTGGGCTGATTAACCCTTGCAGCATACAGAGAACACATACAGTCCTGAAGGAGCACACATCCCCAGTACTGGAAAAGAAACTTTAAAAGGATTCATGAGCTAGAAAGGTGAGCCTCTGGTTGGAAGACAATAGAGTCTATATTAATAAACAAAGACTAATGGACTGGTCTTTTCTCTAGCCATTCCTCTTGGCTGAGAAACTGAGAATAAAAAGATCAGTCAGCAATCTTCAGGATTTTTACTGAAAGATTTTAAACAGAAGAAATCTTGGGGGCCAGGGAGATGGCTCAGTGGAATAAGCACTTCCCTAGCAAGCGCAAGGGCCTGAGTTCAATCCCCGGTTCCACAAAAAAAAAAA